AAGGAATTATATACATGTGCTGAGTATTGAATGCTTATTAAGATCAAATGAGAATCTGAGGATAACTATTGCATTCAGTGTTCAATTTTCAAACGCGATCATGCCTAAAACGGTGGTTCCGCCCAGTTATGCTGTTTATGCCTTGCAGAAAAACTTTGTATATTAAGAATAAACAATAGATTTTTATCAAACAAAATGTCAGAACCAATTTGACACTAATTTTTGTGCTAAATGGTCATAGGTTTTACCACAAATAGATTAATTAGCTTTTTTTAAACGTCTTGAAAACAGCTGTATCTTCAGTCTGATGATAGCCTTTGAGTGCAAAACTCGAGTAAATAAAGTAGAAGTGTAAGTGCCGTTTATTTTAGTACTGAATATATATATGTATGTATATGTACTATTTAAAGCACGCGTAGGAGTGTTTTATCGTATATGAAACACGACACGTAGCGGAGTGTTTTATATGTGATGAAACACGACTACAAGTGCTTTAAATAGCTTAAAAAACGACTCATCTTATACGAGTTCATTAGCGAAGTAATTTTTAAAATAAACTTTGTCTAAACCGACAAAATCAAAGCTAAAGTTTATGTAAATTAACGTGATTTTTTATCACATATAAAACCACAACACGCTTATGATTTTTCTTTGTGTTTTGCTCCTGAACTATTAATGAGTTTTTTAAATATATATATATATATATATATATATATATATATATATATATATATATATATATATATATATATATATATATATATATATATATATATATATCGTTTGTAGTTAGATATCGCTCTATGGCCTTTAGGTCATATTGAGCGCTCTACAGGATGAGCCATGCCGCTTACGCATTGCGCACGCTCACTGCTTGCAGTTTGAGCGCTCTGGCATGGTTTTGATGTCCCACAATCGTGAGGCATCAAAGCTAACTGTAAATAGCAGTTACTTTCATCCTGCTCATCAGCACTACACTGATGACTGATGAGGCCCATAAGGCCGAAACGGTACCGTCTGTAGTTAGATATCGCTCTATGGCCTTTAGGTCATATTGAGCGCTCTACAGGATGAGCCATGCCGCTTACGCATTGCGCACGCTCACTGCTTGCAGTTTGAGCGCTCTGGCATGGTTTTGATGTCCTACAATCGTGAGGCATCAAAGGTAACTGTAAATAGCAGTTACTTTCATCCTGCTCATCAGCACTATACTGATGAGGCCCATAATGCCGAAACGGTACCGTATATATATATATATATATATATATATATATATATATATATATATATATATATATATATATATATATATATATATATATATATATATATATATATATATATATATATATATATATATATATATATATATATATATATATATATATATATATATATATATATATATACAAGTATCGAGTTTGGAATCATATATGAGTAGAGTGCTCAATACCGTAGTAGAGCTGATAAGATTAGAAGACAAACTTGAATTACTTCATATGAACTTTATTTCACTACAAATTTGTTTCGTATGACAAGACGAGTCTTGCCACACTCATCAGGTGAATTTAAATGACGCGCTATGTTGTTGCCTAGGATATACTATGTACATGTTTGAGGTCAAAAGTGTTATATTACAGTGTTATTTATAATCTATTTATTGCTCAACAGGAATTTGTTCCGGTGTCTACATTTTGACAATAGTTCATTTCTAGAGTTCAAGGAGCTGAGTTTAGGATAATAAATAATTAGAAATTTTTCGTGCAGGCATAAGTTGCATCGTTTGGTTTTGTTTGAGTAGCTTTTACTCTTTTTCATAATTCTCCATTTAATGGAGTATTTTACGCTAGACTCTTTCAAATGCCAGACATATTTACTTAGTTCAGTAGAATGTTTGTATCTGGAGTTTCTGAAGGAACTGGTGTGACCATTGTACCTTGTTTTGAATTCCCCTTCTGTGTGTCCTACATAGGTCTTTTCCTCTTTTGTATCGTTTCTAGTCACAGTTGCTTGATAAACAATGCTGCTTGTTAAGCATTTACTGGAGAGAGGACAGGAATCTTTCTTACGGCAATTGCACTCACTACTCTAGTTTCAGACGTTTGATTCTTAGTTGTTTCAGTTTTGTCTTGTTTGTTGAGTACTTTCTTGTTATGACCAGAGACAATACAATGAACGTTAGGCATGCAGCTGTAGCTTAATTTCAAGGTGTTTCGATTAAATATCTTGTGTAGAGGGTGGTTAGGAGGAAAGGAATCGTCGATAGCTTGAAGAAACTTGTATCCAATGTTGGTGATGACATTGGAGTTGTATGGGGGGTTGAACCATATTATATTTCTGCTTCTAGATCGTTTAGGTTTGGGTGGTTGGGTACCGAAACGGTACCGTCTGTAGTTATATATATATATATATATATATATATATATATATATATATATATATATATATATATATATATATATATATATATATATAAATATATATAGCTAATTCAATAAAGGTTGTCCTTTGCAAACCTTAAACTCTAAAACCTTAAACCTTAATAATAACAAACACTTGTAAGTTATAAGTACAACTGTAACTTATTACAGTTGTAGTTATAACACTATTAATAAGCATTTATTACAAATTTACAATTTAATTTAATGATATGCTATTAGACCTAAGTTGCTAAGTAAACATTAGTAACATAGAATTAATTAATATTATCCAATATCCAATTTATTGATTAATTGAATAGATTAATTTTGTTAACAGTGAAGGCTGTGAAGCACAGTTAATGCCTAACAGCTGTAGAGTCAAAATTTAAGGACTTTAAGTGCTGTTAAACCAACTAAATTTTATGACAGTGTTTTCAAAGAAAATGCCCCCGGCCTAAATTTGATAACAGTGTTTTCATCAAAGGAAATATTTCCCCCCCTGGCCTAGGATCCAAGAAAGGCTAGAATTATTTCCAGGTCTGGTGATCAGGCGTAAAAAAATACCTGTGGTTCCGGTTTCATATCGTAAAAAAATTAGGGTTGGTAGGTCGGAAATAAAGTTTTTTTTGAATATTGTTTTCATGGTTGGGTCGGCAGAAAATAGGGTCGGCAGAAAAAATAGGGTCGGTCGGGAACCGGAACCACAGGTTTTTTTTTACGCCTCACTTCCTGCATGGCCTGATCATGATCACTTCCTGCATGGCCAAATTATCCATGCAACTGGTACCATGCATAAACTATCAATCTTATCTCGCTCAGTATCCTCTGGGGCCGCTTTGGAAAAATTCTGACCTGTACAACCATGTGAATAATATTAGACAAGTAAAAAAATAATACTATAAGTAGGGCGCACTGGGGCGCATTGCAGCTCAATGGGTTAAAGAAAGCAAATCTACTACAAGCCATATATGGCCCACAAAGGTTAGGGGCAATGCCGCAATGGGCAGATAACACCTCCAATGCAACCTGTTAAGTTGCATTGCACCCCACTTTATTGTTTTACCCTGTCTAATTTTACTCAACAAGGGAAGAGTGCTGGCACTCAATGGGTTAATCAGATGTCCAATTATTAATAATAATGATGATGTCCAATGGACCTTTAACCTTATAACTAAAATTTTGATCTAGACAAAAATTTCATCACAGCTTGAAAGAGCATAATATTCCAAAGTTTCGTATGGCGTTCCAAACGTGACAAAATATCAAGTCTACATATTTACATCAAGTTGTTTGTTGAATACATCAAGTTGTTTGTTGAATACATCAAGTTGTTTGTTGAATACAATAACAATAACAATAACAATAACAATATTTATTTGCCATATATATATATACATACATACAATTAGAAACAAGAAAAAAAAAAAATAGGTACAAGAAGGAAGGAACTATAATTAATTGTATCGGATGGCGAGGAGACCTCCAGAAACCACCAGGCTTGTACAAGGGAGGCCACCTCTTGATGCAAGAAGATTATATAATAAGTAATATTATTATTGGATTATTGGATATAGGACTAAAATATAGATGTGCTTAACTTAGTAGCTGAGATAATTAATATAATAGATGTTCTAGCATTCTGTTCCTGAAACAACGAGGAGTAACTTGGTTAATAATATTTTTTGGTAATGAATTCCACAGTTTTGGTCTTTGAAATAGAATAGTGAACTGTTTAATATTTGTTCTGCAAGAGTGAGTTCGATAATCAGCCGCATGTCTTGTGTTATATATATGCATTTGACTACCTGTAGTAAATATCATGTGAAATAAAGATGGTAATAAATGGTTATGATATAGAAACATGAATTTAGCGGTATAAAATGTATTTTTTGGTAAATATCCAGTAATTTTAACTGCGAAAAGAGCGGTTTTGTATGTGCACGATAACATGCGTTTGTAATTGCCCGCACAGCGCGTTTTTGCATCAGAAGTAGCTTATTCAAGTTAGTGGGATAGGTAGAACCCCAGGCAATATTACAATAAGTTAGATAGGGATAGATTATAGTATAATACAACATTAACTTTGTATTGGTCGACAAACAAAAGCGAGATCGGTAAATTATTCCCACTGATTTAGAGATCTTTTTACAAATATAAGTAATATGTTCTGTCCATGATAAATTTTCATCAATAAATACTCCTAAGAATTTAACGACATGTACTTTTTTAAGTGCTTGACCATTAAAGGAAAGTGACAGATCAGTATTGATTCTTTTCTGTTTTGATTTGAAAACCACGTAATTGGTTTTCTTTATATTAACAGAGAGTTTGTTCGCCTTCATCCAACAGTCAAATTTCGACAATTCATTGTTTAAAGTATCATTCAATTGTTGAATGTTGGAATGAGAATAAAAAAGACTGGTATCATCTGCAAACAAAATAGTTTCAATTATATCTGAAACATTGGGCAGATCATTAATATAAAAGATAAAAAATAACGGTCCTAATATGGAACCTTGCGGCACACCACATTTGATAGTTTGTAGAGATGAGGAAACATTGGTATATTGTACAAATTGTTTGCGGTGAAGAAAGTAACTTTTTATCCATTTTAGTGCCAGTCCCCGAATGCCATAATGCTCAAGTTTAGAAAATAAAATTTCATGATTTAAAGTATCAAATGCTTTAGATAAGTCTAAGAACACTCCAGCAGTGGCTTCATTGTGGTCAATTGCTGATGCTATATTGTTAATCAAGTGAACAAGAGCATGGCTGGTTGAGTGACCTCTCCGGAATCCAAATTGATTGTCGTAAAATATATTGAATCGTTCAGCAAAGATAACTAAGCGGTTATGCATTATTTTCTCAAAAAATTTTGAGAAATTGGTCAAAAGTGATATAGGTCTATAGTTACTGAACACTTCGGTGTCATCTGCTTTGAACACCGGGATTAGTTTAGCTATTTTTAATTGGTCTGGAAATACTCCTTTGCTGAAGGAAAGATTAATAAGATGCAGTAAGGGGTTCGATATGTGCTTAAAAGAACTCTTAATAATATGCATGGGTATATTGTCGAAACCCGGCGCTTTACCAGATTTAAACATCATACAGGTCTGTTCAAGTTCTGGCAGAGTCGCAGGTTTTAACCAAATCGTTTCTGTAATACTTGTACCTAAGGATGTTCTAAACGATGTACCAATTGAAGGTATTTTGTTTGCCAGATTGATTCCAATATTGGTAAAATATTTGCAAAATTTGTCGGCGATTTCATTCGGATCAGAAACGATCCTGCCATCAATTTTAAATTGTGATGGGAGTGTTCGTTTCATTTTCTTATTATTTATTACTTCATTTATTAGTTTCCAAGTGTCTTTGATGTTGTTCCTGACACTAGTGAATTTATCATCATAATAATTTCGCTTAGCTATTCTTATTAAATGATTTAATTTATTCTTATATGCCTTGTATCTTTCATTTCTCACCGTATTTTGCTTATTAACAAATTCCCTATATAACCTTTTTTTTTTCCAGACAGACACCAGCAGACCTCTGCTTATCCAAGGTGTTTTAGGTATCTGATTATTTCTTTTGACCCTTTTGAACGGAAAACAAGTTTCATAGTGTTTAGTATATTCAGATAGGAAATTTGCGAACAATTCATTAGGATCTTCGTTGTCATTCAATATATTAAACCAATCTACCCGATCAAGACATCTCATAAACGTTTCTTGATTAGCGTCATTAAAATCTCGAAAGGCTACTTCTTCTGGGGTTTTGTTAGGAATTTGCTCATCAGCAAAAACAGCAATTATAGGTAAGTGATCAGAGATATCGTTTAAGAGAATGCAGTTACAAACGCTCTGTGCAAAGCAATTTGTAAATATGTTGTCGATCAATGTTGCTGAATGTGAAGTCAAACGTGTCGGTCTGTTAATGAGTGGGTAAAACAAATGTGAAAATAAAGAATTCATAAATTCTTGTGTTGGTATATGTTTTTCATAGTATGAGAGATCTAAATTAAAATCTCCCATTAGATAACAATGCTTATTGTCCTTAGAAATAATAGACATAATGCTATTGAATTTGTCCAAAAATGCTTCTAGATTTTGGTTAGGTGGACGATAAATTGTTCCAACAATTATATTCTTCCCATTAGGGACTTGAATTTCGACAAATAGAGACTCAATTGTGTCAGGATCAGAAATTATGCAATCAGAACATAATTTGTATTCTAAATTGTCTTGTATATAAAGTCCAGTTCCGCCGCCGGTTTTATCTCTGCGATGATTAGACACAAAATTATAACCTGGAATATTTACAAGCTCAAGTGTTTGGTCTTTCAACCACGTCTCAACTAAACCAATTACGGAAAATGATTTATGCAATTGCGCAAGCATAGATTTAAAGTTATCAAAATTTCCAATTAAACTACGAATATTAATTTGCATAATACGAAAGGATGAATCAAGACAATTAACATTACTTAGATTATTAAATTCATCTTCAACCATATATTCACTGGCTGATGGTGAATTTATCAGATTCATATCTGGATCAAGAGTATTTAGTAATGAATTAGCGGTTGATATTTGTTGTTCAACAGGGTTATATAATAAAGATTGTAAGCGATCAGTATCATAATTTAAAGGACCATGAGACATTTCGTAGAGTGCAATATTAAAAGCAGTATCATCAAGCTGATTAAAAGGCAGTATTGTGCTATCGTAGCTTTCGTCCAACGCCATGATTGCACACGGTTAATAAATATTGAACAAGTAATAAACTTAGCTTATTGTAGAGATGTAAGATCTTCTAGCTTGTTTAACTTTATGACTGTAGAACTATCATTCTTGCGAAGAAAAATGACGCCCTGTTTCACCCAACAGTATTTATATTGCTTTACTTCCCTGTACTTCTTCGCCTCGTAAAATAAGTTTTGTTGCTTCGGTGTTAGATGGTCATAGATGCTTAATCTATTCAATGGCGCACTGCCTGGAAGATCTAGCTGACTTGCTGAGACATTCGATAATTGCTTTCTTGCAGCCATAATTCGTTCCTTTACAATTCTTCGGGTAAATTTACACACTATAGCGTTAGGTCGACTCGAAGGATTTCGAGCGGGCAGACGATGAGCAATATCAATGTCCTGGATTGTACAATCACTGACTCCAATCGCTGCAAAAAGCTTTAGGCACAGATTCGTTGTTTGCCCACTTGATTCGTTTTCTGCAGTCATCGGTACGCCGTGTATCTTTATATTATATCGGTAGCTGTAGGACTCTATATCATCGACGGCTTGTGTTATCGAGTCACATTTTTTCTCGATTTTATCTAATCTCGTCGTTATCTCCCTGATATCCTTCATTGCCGTAGTCGTAAATTTCACAAAATCGTCATGCTGATTGCTCAAGAATTCAATTGATTTAGTTTGATCGAGTGTTGTTGTGCCCTTTTGAGACGCCACTTTCAGACCAAGCGATATTTCATCTAGTTTCTCTTTAAGTTGAGTAATTTCCTCTCGTAATTCTTCGTTCTCTTTTCTCAGCTGTTTAGTAGCAGCCATTTCACATCAATCAATTCAGCAGAGTAGCGAGCCCGACTCAAGATCTCACTCCAATTTATCGGAGCACAAAATTATATAAAATTTATCGGAGCACAAAAATATACGTCCGCTCTTGTTGAAGACATCAAGTTGCTTTGTTGAATACATCAAGTTGCTTTGTTCAATACATCAAGTTGCTTTGTTGAATAGTTCAAGTTGCTTTGTTGAATACATATGCTCATATACCGTTCCAAACGAGACAAAGTATCAAGTATTCAAGTTTACATATTTACATCAAGTTTTGTTTGTTGAATACATCAAGTTGCGTGTGTCTTACATCAAGTATATCAGAGTAAAATAATTCAAGTTGGTGTGGTTGATATTTATACATCAAGAAGGGAGAGGACCGATTTTCAAGAAGGGAGAGGACCGCCTGTGTTTATACAAAAAGTATAATAATAGTGGGTTTTACTTAATATGCGTACTCGAATACTCGATCAAGTATTTGTCAATGTATGCTTTCTACGCGTAGTCGATCAAAAGTAAACGGCTGTACGCTTTTTAAGCATACTCAATCAAAAGTATTAAAACGGGCAAACGACTGTAGGCCTACGCTTTCTATTACAGTAAAGCGTACTCGATCAAACCTTAAACGGCTGTACCCATATTCGGTGTACTCGATCAAAACCGGCTAAACGACTGTACGCATATTTTCTCTGCTCCATCTAGTTTATATATAAAATATCCATCACATTCCATCGGAATCGAAATAGTCAGGAAACTTAGTCCTATTAAAAGTGTTAAAATATTCTCTTAAAAAAATTAAACCCACCCCACAAAACCTTAACTCCTAATCCTAAGACCTAAGCTTAAAGGTGATCTACAGCCCGTATGTAAACAAAGCCTTTGTTTACATTTTTGTGTCCAAAATATTGAGCTTTATTCGACAACTATTTATATTTTCAAGCTTCTAGAGTATAATAAATGATCAAGAAACAACAATCAGGCTTTTCAAGAACTCAAAACATAGTTAAACTGTTCGTATCATAAAAAGTGGGCTCATTTGTGCACATGCGCAGATCGGACTGTAGATCACCTTTAAAATCATACTCAAAAGAATTGAAAAAATTTTTTAACTTGAAACTGTGCCATAGATTATAGGGCTGTGCCTTGCAAGCATGCGCCTAAACCACTGTGCCACAAGAAACACGCTCAGTTATTTTGTAAATAAAGCAATTTATAGGAGTAAGCTAAAATGTAAAATGTATTAAATCTTGACAGGATCTTGATGCGAATACGCTGAATACGCAGATATTTTGCAAATCTTTAGCTCGAGTAAACGCTTAGCAAGCGTCTTGTTTATTGAATTATTTCTTTCACCCCCCGTGAAATATTTGTCAGAGATTTTTCAACACCCTTCCCCCCTCCAGTTTATTGTTGAATAATAATGAGCTGAAATTTCGACCTGATCAAAATCGGTCCTCTCCCTTCTTGATGTATAAATATCAACAACGCCAACTTGAATTATTTTACTCTGATATACTTGATGTAAGACACACGCAACTTGATGTATTCAACAAACAAAACTTGATGTAAATATGTAAACTTGAATACTTGATATTTTGTCGCGTTAGGAACGGCATAAGTATTGAACAAAGCAACTTGATGTATTCAACAAAGCAACTTGATGTATTCAACAAGCAACTTGTTGTATTCAACAAACAACTTGATGTATTCAACAAACAACTTGATGTAAATATGTAGACTTGATATTTTGTCACGTTTGGAACGACATAGTTTCGTTACGAAATGTTGTAAAATGTGGATAATATAGCCCTGCGAAGTTTGCAATTTTCAGTCATTTTAGATTACAAACGGGAAATTGATACCCAAATCGGGTGTTTGGGTATCAATTTCCCGTTTGTAATCTAAAATGACTAAAAATTGCAAACTTCGCAAGGCTGTATTTTCCGCATTTTACAACATTTCGCAACGAAACTTCGGAATATTACTAATTTTGTGATGCTCTTTTAAGCTGTGATGAAATTTTTGTCTAGACTAGATCAAAATTTTAGTTATAAGGTTAAAGGTCCATTAATATTAATAATAATTAATATTAATAATGAAAATAATTAATATTAATAATAATAATGTAAATAATAATATAATAATAATAATAATAATATAATAATATATGATAATAATATAATATAATGATAATAATATAATGATAATAATTAATATTAATATTATTTATTAATATTAATATTAATAATAATTTATTATAGATGTCTAATCATATTGAAGACATATGCACCAAGGCCAATAAAACCCTTGGTCTAATTAAGCGGGTGTGCACTAGAGACGTTGTGGGTGCCAATACGCAGAAGCTTCTCTATTGTGCTGTTGTACGACCTAAGCTTGAGTATGTGTCGTGTGTGTGGTCACCTTACTCGGCTAAACAACGTAAATTAATAGAGAACGTTCAACACAGAGCAACGAAATTCATTTTGAACTACCTTCCTCGTGATTTTACCTACAGAGACAGACTAATATCCTTAAACATTCTCCCACTTGAACACAGGCGTGAACTTTATGACCTAACACTATTATACAAAATTAAATACAACCTTATTAATGTCACCTTTAACCAATACCTTACACCTGCAACTAACCCCTATGCCACACGCAACTTCGACCCTAATAACTATAACATAATTGTCTCCAATAATCAAGAATTGTTCCGACAATCTTATTTCCCACGCACCGTCATCCTCTGGAACAATCTACCACCGAACATCAAAGCCGCCCATTCCCTACAGATCTTCAAGCACCGTCTACACTCTTATTACAAAGCCAAACTGTCTACCTACACATACCACCATAGATAATTGTACTCTAAATTGCATGTAATCTGTGATATGCTCGTGCATAATTGTCTTAGTACGTCATCAATTAGAATTTAGTTTCTGTTTTCTCCTGTCACAGCATTTTATAGTTATTGTTGTTGTTACATCTCTATGTAAATGTATATATTTTATATGTGTGACAAAATGAATAAATAAATAAATAAAATTAAGTTGGATTGTGGCCAACTTTATTATTTCACTTTGCCTAACAACAGACAATCTTACTTCCTAAAGGAATAGTGCTGGCACTCAATGTATGCATAGGTAAAGGGCCAAATTAACTCCAAATTCAAAAACATGCACATCAAAACTTACTTGAATTAAGAATTCTGTCAGAGTTACTGTACAGGCCAGTTCCACTAAAGGCTAGTTTCCACTCAGGAAAATTATCCGTGGATTGGAACGGACAAGAAAATTTGTCTTTGTCTTGTGAGCTCTGGGTTGGAACTAATGACTTTAACACAAAGAAAAATTTTCTTGTCCGTTCCAATCCACGGATAACTTTCCTGAGTGGAAACTAGCCTTTAGAGTTACTGCATGGCTAACAGAGGTTTGCATCGGATCGGATTGGCCGTTTATAATACGACAATTGGCTAATGTTTAAAATCCAATCCGATCCGAAATTGTCTAATCCAATCCGATCCGACTACAAAACAACTTTATCAATCCGATCCAATCCGAAATGAATATTTTACCTGTAGTTCCGAAATCCGAACGGATCTGATTCGCACACCTCTACTGGCTAACAACAGGGTCTGAAATTTGAGCTTGAACTGTCTGTGCCAGTGTAGGTATAGTGCCAATATCAATATGAATATACAATTACTTTATGGTTTCCGTGTTTGGATGGCCTGATCCAAACACGCGGGAATGTTGCGAGAGTTAAGAAAAGCGCGCGAAAACACGAGCCGAAGGCGAGTGATTTTGCGCGCTTTTCTTAACTCGAGCAACATTCCCAAGTGTTTGGATCAGGCCATCCTAACAGGGAAACCATAAAGTAATTGTTTTATAAAATAACAACAACACGATAGTCTTCCGTGTTTGGATGGCCTGATCCAAACACGGGTTTCGACAAATCAGAGCACGCGTTATATACATGTTATTTTATAACAAGCTTTCGTTGGTAGGGATGCAACTACCTGAAAAATATAAGGAGAATTTCAACGTTTCGAGCGAAGGCCCTTCGTCTGAAATTTAAGATTTTCCATTGTACCTCGCTGAGATACCAGGATTCAAAGATCTAGTATCCCATTGATTGATCTGAAAATCCAGTATCCCACTACAGGGTGTATCAAAAAAAAGGTAATCGAACTACAGCGCGCTATTATACGTGAATCACTCGGCGTATGAACAATTGGTTTTCATATTTAGAAAGATCAGGCTTTTAGCTATTGAATGACATGCTTTTCATACCAAGTGGAGAAAAAATAAGCATGTACGAGGCCGATCAAAAATGTTAGTCAAAATCGCATATTTTCACCTCTGTGCCTAATTAAAACAATGCATAACAAAAGAAACTAACGTATTTTTTGTATTGTATTAAAACTTTATTTAGAGACACTAGCCCCGTCA